TAGACGTAGACACATGGGCAAAAAAAAAAAACCGGGCACGCGAGACACGGCAGTAATTTGTGCACGAAGCGAGAATGAGAAAGGAAGCGGGAACTGGGGACGTGGTTCGTCCGTATCACACGAAGTGAATGCAGTTCCTTTGAAGCACATTCAGGTATCCATAAAGGTATTTGCTTATGCGGTCGAGAATTAATAGAAAAGCGAGCAGAAAGTGGCAGCCGACAGAGAAAACAACAACAATTAGGGCTCAAATTTAAGAGGCAGCCAAAGCAGTTACCAGGCCAAGAACTGGTTACAGTTATGTCTGCGAGAATTAACCATATCCATGTGCATATACATATATATGTATATATACATGTAGGGAAGGAATGCGAGGAACCAGACTAGAGCTAACTTCAGACAGCCGACAACTGAGATACCCTTGAATACGAGATTATGTGGAAAGAGGATAGGCTTGGGAAATTGGGTGTATGTGTGAAGCTTGAATATACATTTATATGTATAGAGGTTAACCATGAATAAAAAGCCAATCCTCATGCAAAGCGGTTGAGTTTTGACTGAGCTATGAAAATGTTCAATTTTGACCCATGCCTAGAAACGAATCCGAGGGGTAAGACATGAATTTCAAGCAAAAAATGTAAATGCCGAATTATTTTAGAGGGTAAACCATGGACAAAAATCCAATCCTCGTGAAAATAAAGTTCTTTAAAAGCTATTTAGACACCGAACTGATGCTAAAAAATATATATATATACTCCCACACGATATATAGTATTTCATGGTGAAAAAATGTTCGATACTTACACAAATAACTCAAATTTTCCAACCTTCAGCCGAATTATTCCTGATGGAGCAATATGGATATAGTTGTTCAATTTGATGAGTTATGTGAGAAGTTTGTCGAGTTGGCGAATTTTGTTGAGATAAATAAAAAACAGTTTTTCATATATTTCCTATGGGTTGTGGATGATGGATGATATGGTGATCCGATGTAGATGAGATGTTGGTTTTAATTTTTGGAGCATAAAAAAGTTTCTTTTAACAATTCCGAAAGGTCCTATGACAGATATATTCGAAACGGGCAACTGCAAAAATAAAAGAAATCTATGTACAGTTTTTTTTCTAGAAAGGTTTAAGGCTAAGTAAATCGTTTGCAAGAAACCAGCAGACAGAGTATCGGACATGGCCATATAAATCAAATATTGATATTGAACAAGAACATATATATTCATATTTGATGGAAATGGAGGGTATTAAACAGGGCTGCAAGACTGGGTTTGAGCCGAACTGCTTTGAGCTCGGAATTCCAACTGCGAAACGAACCTTCAACGAAATCAGTTACCGAACCACAGCTTGGAAAATGTTTTGGAGCAAAATAACATACTTTTGAGAGAGACTTAATAAAGGCTTGAACCCAAATCTGGCTTGAAGACTAGGGAAAGAAAGCTGTGAACTGAACCTCTAAAAAAAAACAGGTACCATGTGTGAAAATTGGAATTCCAAAGCAGGAAGCTGGTTCGAATCGTATTGCAGCCCTGGCATTATTAACTAACTAACTATAGGATTTCTTTACTTTTGCAGTTATTTGTCGGGCGCATTTAATCCACGTGAACCTTCTTAATGGCCACGCTGGTTATCTCCGCCTCCTTGAGCTGCTCGTCCGTGGTGGAATTATATATATGCTTCAAGTACAAATTGAAATAGTCGGTATAGTTCATCGGTGTGGAAATGCGATGTGTGCGCACCGGAAGCCGCGGCGACAGCGACAACATGCTCGCCCATTGCCCATCGCAGAGATCGTCATACCGCAGCAGGCCCACCTCGTGCCCGCCCAGATCTCCCGGGCCGCGGCACATCGGCTGCTGGCCATCCCAGAGCTTCACCACAAATTCCCGAATCCAGCGCGCCAAATACAAGGCCCGGCAGTCGCAGTGCCAGGGATTCTTGTCCAGTTTGACGGCGACCAGTTGGTTCAGCCCGTGCAAAGCTCCATGCGGCAGATACATCAGCTTGTTGGAGTCGATGCGGCTAATGGGGAAATTATGCAGAAAGTAGGGAAAAGTTTGGCTTGGGAAAAGTTCCATCAACTCACAGTTTCTCCAGCTGGGTGAGCGGCTCGAAGGCGCGCGCATCGAAGTGCTTGAGTATGTTGTTGTTGAGCATCAGGATTTTGAGGCTGTCGAGGCCCTTAAAGTCGTTGGCCTCCAGCGTGGTCAGGTTATTCGAGAAGAGCGTCAGTCGGGTGAGTGCGCCGACCCGCAGGAACAGATCACCCGGTATGCTGGACAAGGAGTTCTGGCCGAGCAGCAGCTCATTTAGGTTCTTTAGCTCCGCAAAGGCCTGTCCATCGATCTGCAAGGAGAGAAAGGAGTTAAATCCATGTTAGCCAAGTCTAAGATACCCTAGAAGGCAACTCACGTGGCTGATGCGATTCATGGTGAGGTCCAGGGTGATCAGGTTGACGAGATTATTGAATGTCGTGGCCGATATGGAGCTAATGCGATTGTTATACAGATTCAAGGTGCGCAGACTCTTCAGGCCCTCAAAGAAGTCGTCCTCAATCTTGGCTAAAAGCAGTTTCAGTTAATTTAAGCTGAGATTGATAAAAAAAAAAATATCCAAAGCCCTACCAATTTGATTCCAGCCAAAGTCGAGGGCCTTGAGCTTGGTCTGGTATCGCATGCTGCCCGAGACGAGCTGCTCGATCCGGTTGCGCGACATATCCAGCTCCTCGAGCATCAGCTGATCGCGCAGCAGGTTGGGCGGAAAGTTCTTGATCTGATTGTCGCACAAATTGATCACAGTTAGGCGTTGGGCGTGATAGAAAAGCGATTCGGGCAGCAGCGAGATCTCGTTCTTGTGCAGATCGAGCAGATTCAGATTGCGCAGCTTCCAGAAGGTGCGCGCATCAATGTCCTCCAGCTGATTGTTCTGGATGCGACTGCAAAGAGAGAGGGGGACTCTCTTAGAATAAATGTCGAATGGAAGGGGTCTTGATACTCACAGCTGCAACAGGCTGTCCAGATCCCGGAACAGATCGAAGGGCAGAAAATCGAGCAGATTGTTTGATATGTCCAGCTCCTTGAGCAGCGTCAGCCCACGGAACGTGTCCTTGTGCAGTGTGGAGAGCACGTTGCGGGAGAGATCGATCGCAACCATATTCATGGGTATCACCTGGCTGACGGGCACAGTCTTGAGGTTCGTGTTCCAGCAGGTGAAGCTCTTGGTGTCCGGATTGCAGCGACAGACACCGGACGTGCAATGGTTCCACTCGAGCTCGCTGCCGCTGGCCAAATGCCAAACAGGCTGCTCGACGGAGCGCAGCCGGCTTTCGATCTGCCGTACTCGCTTATCGAACTCGGCCGGATTAAACATGGTGCCGACTTCTCCGGCTGGTTCCTTGCCGGCGCTCGTCCTGCGTTTAGCTGTCTCCACAGGCGCCGCAGCCATCAGCGTGCTGAGCGTTCCATTGGGCAGCGCCTTGATCAGCATTAGCAGCTGCGTAATGATCCGCAACGTCTCGCACGCATTCAGCGTGCAGTTGCGGGTGCCCGCCGAGAGCAGGGGCTGCAGATACCGCTGCCGGAACTCTTCCAGCGTCTGGCTCTCCGACTGCGCCTCCAGCGTGAGGATCAGCAGCAGCCAGGTCCATGGGAATATCCAAATAAGAAAGCGCGACATGACATCCGACTATAGAGTGCCTGGCGCGCTGCTTGAACCTATTTATAGGCTCCATTCAGCAGCTGCATAATTCGCACAATTTGAGATAATTTGCATTTTTTTACAGCAATTACCTTAAGTAGTTCAGAAAACCAGATGGGAACCCAGCTGAGTCGCAATGTGGCATATGCTCGCTTCTGATGACACTCTCCATTTCTGGCTTTTCCCACAACAATTTATATTATTGTCTTAATATATTTATAAGATATCAGGATATAGTTATATGGCAATTACTTAAACAAAAGCAAGATTTAAAGTTCGAATCTTCAGCTGGTCTCTGCATTTATACACGAGACTGGGATTAGAACCAGCAACCTTACTTTTAGTTCAGTATACATATAAGCTTTATATCTGTATCTATATCTATATCTATATCTATATCTATATCTATATCTATATCTATATCTATATCTATATCTATATCTATATCTATATATATATATCTATATCTATATCTATATCTATATCTATATCTATATCTATATCTATATCTATATCTATATCTATATCTATATCTATATCTATATCTATATCTATATCTATATCTATATCTATATCTATATCTATATCTATATCTATATCTATATCTATATCTATATCTATATCTATATCTATATCTATATCTATATCTATATCTATATCTATATCTATATCTATATCTATCTATATCTATATTCTATATCTAGATCTATATCTATATCTATATCTATATCTATATCTATATCTATATCTATATCTATATCTATATCTATATCTATATCTAAATCTATATCTATATCTATATCTATATCTATATCTATATCTATATCTATATCTATCTATCGATATCTATATCTATATCTATATCTATATCTATATCTATATCTATATCTATATCTATATCTATATCTATATCTATATCTATATCTTCTACTCAATTAAATTTTCAAGCGCAATCGGAAAACGGAAATGCGTCTTGGATTAACAAGACCCAGAAAAATTCTGATTTGTTTGCATACAGACAGACAGACATATCTACATAGAATCAATACTGATCAGTAATATATAAATATATATAATTATATTTATGTATATATATATTAATATATATATATATACATATAAATATATATTTATATATTATAATAGGTACAATTAGTTTTGGGCACAGTTCGCCTAACATAAACTTAAAATTATTTATTACATAAACATGCAACAGCGCCTGGCAAGAAGCTCAAGGCATTAGAATAATTTTCAATTATATAAATTAAATTTTGGAATTTCAAAAAGCAACATAAATATGCAGTGTTGTTTAAATGCTTGTTATTTCTATTCAGGAATTTGTCAACACTTGGTGGTAATATTTAACAGCGCCATCCGTTAACGAGTTATCCTAAACACAAGTTGTACCTATTATTGAATCCAGACACGTTTTCTTAAATCCCTTTATACAATTGTTACACGTATTTACGCTACTCCCATTATTGTCCTTTGGTTGCATAACAAGATAAACTCTATAGATGAGGCTGTGAATTTGGGGCGAATTCTTTGTGGCGCCGCCTTTATACAACTGTTACACGTATTTACTACACCCATTATTGTCCTTTGGTGCATTATCAAAAATAAACTCAATAGATGACGCTGTGAATTTGGGGGCGAATACGTTGTGGCGCCACCTGGGCGTGCAACCAAAGCTTGCCACAAGCTGCGCCACCTGGCGCCAGTCTTTTTACATGCAATTGTAAAGCGCCATCTACATGCAGCGATATTGTGTGTTGCTGGAGACGAAGGCTAACTCCATCGGCTTGACGCACAGGAGATCCGCGATCCGTTTGAACTTGGCCAGCAGAACGTTGGGGAAGGGCAGCGCACCGAGGTCGTCCACGTAGTACATGTGCTGCTTCTCCGGCTGGCCGGCCATACGGATGGGCTTGGCCTCATCCAGGGGGCTGGAGGTCTCGATGCAGCGTCGAAAGTCGTCGAGACGTTCGTGAAAGTCCGGCACAAACACGCACGGATCCAGGGCGAGCATGACGAGGCCTAGATTGGGATTGCAGCCGATCTGGGACTCCGACCACCAGCGAGGCACACGCGTCGCATAGTTAGCGCCGGACATAACGCCGCACAGCACATCAATCATGGCCGCCAGGCAGTATCCCTTGTGCCCGCCCACCGGATACAGGCGCTGGGCGCGCAGCGCCAGGCTAGGGAAGCAGGTGGGCAGCCCGGACTCATCCGCCGCCCAAGTGTTCGGTATCAACTCGTTCTTTATGTACGCCCACTCCACAGCGCCAATCTCCTTCATCGTGACGGCCATGTCCAGCATGAAATGTGAATGGGTTGCATCTGCGCCAAAGGCCAGGCAATTGGCACCCAGGCTGGCGACCTGGGCGCCCGGCGCCATCAACATGGGCGCCGCATTCGACAAAACAAGGCCAATATAGCCCTTGGCCATGGCCCGGAACGCATACCAAGCGGCCATGCCGATGTGATGCGAACGCTTGGCCACCACGAAACCGATGCCCAATTTGCGCGCCTTCTCCACGGCCAGATCCATGCAATAGTTGCCCACAAAGACGCCCATGGCGCAGTTGCCATCCACATGCGCTGTGGCCGCCGTTTCGCTGATTATCTCCGGCTCCGCCGTGATGTCCACATAGCCCTGTTGCAGATCCCTCAGGTACATTTCGAGCCGATTGATGCCCGAGCCGTGCACACCTCGGTAATCCGCCGCGAGCAGAAAGTCGCTAATGGAACGCAGCTTCTCGAAAGGCACGCCCACCCGACGCAGGCAGTCGTGTATGAAGCGTCGCGCCTCGGCCTCAATCACGAGCGAGGTGTGCGTCATCTCGACGGGACACTCCTGAGGCATGCGAACGCCTCCCAGTTGCCGCCAGCAACGCAGCCGCCAGGCGGAGCTCGCACGCAACAGCTGTCGTCCGCATTTGCTCAACATGCTGGAATTTCTGGACAGGATTGCTCTACTGGTTGGGCTTGTTAGTTGTGTGTGTATATATATATTTATTATTTTGGGATTGGGGGAAGTTTTCAAAACTGTCTATGGATTATACGATTATTTGTGTTTTATACGTTGTATATATGTGGAATACGGATATTTTAATTGAGGGCCGTCGACGTCAGAACGGCGACGCCGCGCTCATAGAAGCTGTGCGAATCTTGGCCAGCGGCCACAGCCAAATCGACGGTAAAGAGCAGTTCGGTGCGCGTCGAGTTCAAGTAAACGGGTAAAGTTAGTTTGCTTACCCGCGGCTCCGACGAGATTCTGTAAAGTATTAGACATGAGTCAAGGCAGAGTCCGAGCTAGTGAAAATGAATACTCACTTGGCCCACTTGAGTATGGTGAGGGGCAGATCCATCATAATAGTGGAGGCAAGCAGCAGCTCGTTGTTCTTGCACTGGGCACCCTGTAACTTCAGGCCGGTGACACCGAAGCTGCTGTCCTTTTGGTCGGTCTTCAAACCCGCATCCGTGATGGTCACGTCGAGGGTGAGCTCCTCCAGGGACCAGCTATTGGCCTGGGCCACACACTGCCTGGTTGCGGTGATGTAAGCCTCCGGATTGAGCAGACCGCCCAGCCAGACGGGGAAGCCCTGCAGCTCCTTGGCGCCCGCCTGCGAGACCAGCTGCGACACCTTCTGCAACTGCTGGACGCGCATGCTGAAGTCCGTGATCCACTGGATGACGGTGCAGCCGGTGGGCACGGTGTATCGTTTCCAGCCCTTAGGTATGATGCCGCGCACCAGCTCGGAGAGCATCGAACGATGATGATTCGTTTGCTTCTTCTCGCCCTGGCAGATGAGCACCACATCCTGCAGATCGGAGATGACCGTCTGTAGCAGGCGAGCGCCGCTGGTCACCTCGCGCTCAAAGTACCGATACAGCGGATCCTTGATGTTCTCCACGGTGCGCTTGAGTACCTGCAAATTCTTGGGAAGCAGCTCCAGCCAGGCGGTGGCCGAGTTGTGCAGCGTCTTCATCCAGGACGGACGGCCGTCCTCGCTGCGTCCCACGGCCAGGGCCGACTGCTCGGACTGCTCCTCGACGCTGTAGGCCAGCTCGTCGTCATCCTCCAACTGCTGCATCTTCAACAGCTTGCTCACCAGATCCGTGCCGCGTGTCGTCAACAGCACCTTCTCGGCATTGTTGGGCAGACCCAGCCAGGAGGGCGTCTGGCGATCGGTCAGGTTCTCAATCCACTTGAGGAAATGGTCGCGCCGTGTGCCATCCGGCATGGTTATGTGCCGCAGGCCACCCGAGGCGCCATCCACGTTCGCGACAAGGGCAAAGTCCGCCTCGAAGCTGCGCGCTGTGAACAGTTTTTTCAGGAAGGATTGCAGCAGACGCTGATCGAAATCGTTGTCAATCTTGCCGCCGTAAATGGACTGCGAGAGCAGTGTGACCAGCGCATCCCAGGGCACCTTTTCAGGTGGCAAATTGGTGCGTCCCATGGCCGTGGTGTCGATCCAGGTGTCAAGCGTGTCGCATGCGACGCGCAGATCCGATTCATTGAATTCGTACTTCTTGGCCCAGCCGAGGGGCACATAGCGCAGTCGCTCCTGGACGATGGCATGGAACCAGGCCAGCAGGAAATAGAGCCGGGCACGCTCGCTGGGCGTCTTCATCATGCGCGCCGCCGGCACCGTCGAGAAGGTGCGCAACAGATTGGCCCGGATGCCTGGCGGCGGCTCGAAGACGAATATGCGGCCGGCGCGCAACAGATTGACGGGCACCTTGGGATTGATCTCCATGGTGAGAAATAGACGGAAACCGGAGTGCGGCTGCAGCGAGTGCATCTTCTTCTCCAGCTGCACGAGCCACTGCGGCGCCAGATGCACGTTCTTAAGCAGCACCCAACGACCCGTTTTGCAGGCCATATTGATGGCGCGTTCCGCCTGATTGAAGCCCTCCGCGGAGCCGATGGCAATGCTCGAGATTTGCTTGTTCTGCTCGGCGGCCAGATCATCCACACGACCGGACGCATCGAAGCCGGGCACGGAGCAGAGCAAGGCGGGCGTATTGCAGTTCAGCTGCTTGTCCACAACGGCCGTAAAGTCCAGCTCCTGCTCTGCATTCGGCATAAAATCGACGCCCAGCACCGTATTGACCACATTGTGCGCGGCGGCAATAACGCGATCCGGCCGGAAGGCCTGTATGAGCAGCAGCTGATGCACCGAGCTGGATATGGCACTCAACGCCTTCGACTCGTCCCACAGCTGGGGCACACACTGCTCCGGGGAGCTCTGCTGCAGCCAAGCGCCCAGTTCCGGCATGGAACGCACCTTCTCTACCAGCTTGCGGAAAATGGGCAGCCGTGTGGCTAGACGATTGACGCCCTCGATTTGCTCCCCACTGAGTCCTTCGACGTGCGTCGGATTCGCCAGCAAACCCTCGCGGCTGCGCAGGAAGAAATTGAACTCCGCATCCAGATTGGATTCTCCGGTGCCCTTCAGATGAATCTTGCACATGAGCAGCGCAAAGGTTAGGCGATCGTTGTGTAACATGCCGCGTGCCACGCGCTCGTAGCACACCTGGAACAGATCTCGGGTGACGATGCCCAGACGCTCCGAGTGATCGCTGCGACCCTCGAGCCGCGGATTGTTGTACAGCACCGTCGAGAATATGTCGAGGAACATCTTTAGCGAGTATTGGTACAGGAAGTGCACCTGATTCAAGCTGTCCATTGTGAAGTACATGTTGCTGCAGGCCACCGACAGAGGCAGATACTGTTGCGACACGGTCTCGATCTCAGCGATGACCTTGTCCGTCTCGTCGACCTTCTGGTTGATGTCGTATGCCTCCTTCTTGAGCGTCTCCAGCGTTGTGATAACCGAATCGTCGTCCAGAATCTTGCCCTTGGCATCGTTCAGTGCCTGCAACAGACTCTTCTCCAGCTGGCGCAGACGCAAACGGAACTCGCCCTGTAGCTTCAACAGATCGGAGCGTTTCTCGTCAATGTCCGGACGCTCGGCCTTCAGCACCTGGTTCAGGCACTGCGATTGCAGCGAGCTGCGCGTCACCGTGAAGTTAACGAATGTGACCCTCGAACAAATGTCCGGCGGGAACTCAACAGTCGGATCGCGTGTAGACAGGAAGATGACGAACGAGGGCGACAAATCGATATCCTGGTCGCCCAGCGTGATCAGCACACGGCCGCCAGTGCGACGCAACTCACGATTGAGCACGGGATTCAATATGGGATCATAGTTCTCGACATCCTGGACGAGCAGCGGATTGCCGAAACGCAGCGCCGACTCGAGGTTCTTGCGGAACGAATCGTCCAGGAAAGAGGTCTTCGTTATCTTCTTGCCCGCATACTCGTTCAACAGGAAGGTGGTCGCCTGGCCCGACGGATCAATGATCAGCGGATAACGATTGAAGCGCTTCAGCATGATGGCATTCTCCGTGCACAGATCGTCCGACGGCAGGGCATTCGCCTGCCAACGCAGCCTCTCGTCCGGATTGGACAGATACTCGGTGCGTGCAATGTCCGCGCGATACTGTATGCTCGCCGACTGCAGATGCTGCGACCAGGTCGTAAACAGATTTAACCGATAATGCTGATCGAAATAGCCGCCGTAGGCGATGAAGGCGGCCGAGAGCAGGACATCGCCGACAATCGTGGACATTTGGGACTTGAATGTCTCACTTGTGGACTCCCAGCGTTCTCGTTCGATATTCAAGCTCTTGAGCAGTGCGATTGAGCGATCGACCTTGGCCTGAACGTTCTCCAGATCCGTTTTGATGGCCTGCGCCTGCGAGATGAGCTGAGCATACTCCTCCTTGTAGGCAGCAATGCTGCGCTCCAGCTGCTCGACCAGATCCTTCGTCTCCTTGGCGCTGTGCAAATTCACATCCGCCTGCTCTTCCAGCGAGCGCAGCTCCTCGCGCAGCGGCTCCACGCGCTTCAACATGTCTGCGTACTCGATCTACGTTGAGAGATTAGAATTTGAACGGGAACAGAAATTGAAGTGGAAACTTACCTGGGCAATGGCCCATTTGACCATGGGACCGCAGGCCATGCTGGCGCGATTGACCTTCTCAAAGTTATAGTCCGGATTGCTCAAGTACTTGGACTTCATCTTCTCCCGGACCTCATCGCTGTAAAAGGCAGGAATTAAAGATTAATAAAGGGAGCTTTAAAGGGCTGTCGGTTAATTTTGGTATGAACTGGGCAAGCAAAGCGTTTGGTTATTTGTGGATGAGCGGGAAAATTTAACCAAAACCATAGAATACATGAAATTAAGGCCAATTAACCAGGTTCTGATTATGGATTATGGTTAAAAGCAAACACAACAAATAAAATATTTACAGACAACGCAGCACGCTACGGGAAAGAACAAAATCTCATAACTAATAAAGAGGAGAATTTCTAGGCTCCATAAAAAAAAAAAAAAACAGAAGAGGATGTCAAATCGGAACGAAAAGAAAAAGAGGAATAAATCTGTTTCATGCTTACGTTATGTTCTCGGTACCAAAGTTAGATACAATTGAATTAATGAAATTTTCACGCATTATCACGGCGCGTATCGATTTCCAATCGGTCGCATTCTCGCCCAGCAGCAGGCAAATCGATTCTAGTGCCAATTTCACCACGGACGGCGGATTCGCCATCGTTCGCACCTCAACGAGCTGCTGTTTGCGTATGGACTTCACGGCTGTGTTTGTTGTTTGATTGCGGTTTGGTTAACATGGAGGATCAGAATTATTATAAACGATATACAGCACACAACAAATGGCACTTAACTAAATGTTATACTCTGTAGAATTAGCCTAACAATGTTATAATAACAAAGATTATTAACGATAATGCTCAAATATGGGCTATTCCAAGGCCTTAAGCTTGCATTTTTTAAGGAAAAATCCAACAATCATACGAATTAACTCAAGGGATTTGGCTTTCGAAGTAGGAAACAGAAGCATTCAACTTTTACTCTCGAATTTCCTGGCACCTTTTC